TGCATATTTCTAATTTGTTTTATAAAAAGTAAATTATTTATACATAAATTTTTTTTCTATTTCTTAGTTATATTTGTCTTTAATTATTGTAACGTTTCAGCGTAGGTTGAACGATACAGAGTGCATTTATCACTTATTCAATAATATCCAACTTAAATTTGAGAAAGAAAAAGAAATAACATGCCACAATATTTCACTTACAACACATGGCAACAGATATTATGCACAGTCAAAACAAATTTTGGCGATAAGGCATACAAATTCTGATTAGTAGATCATATTAAATCGTATTTTAAGTTACATTGTATTTGTATACTTATAATTGCAGTAATGAGTACAATATTCAATTTAATTGGTAACATGTATTTCTCATATATATATATTTAAGTAATTGTCTTAAAAATAATATAACGATAATAAAAATATTCTCGATTTATTCTTCCAGTCAAAAACCCAATTATGAATAATGTCCATTAAAATAATCAAAAATTTCAAAGAATTTTGTTATAATTTATTTTATTATATAGCCATTAATATAATCATCTTACATTATATGATATTATCACAGCTTATTACTATTATTGTTTAATAAGTTTCCGATATATATTTATTAAACTTAATATTTTTATGAATATAAGATATTATGAAGACATTTCTATCATTTAACACATAAGTATTTCTGTTTTATCCCCATAATAACAAATCAAAATCAATTTGTCGAAAAGAATTATTACATAATTAAGAAATAAATTTTGTTCTTTTCGCTTTAAATAAAATAAAAATTTCATCTATTAGTTTTTATCTACTTGCCATTTATATGTAAATAATAATCCAGCATGATTTTAAATCTGTAAAGCGCAATTAACAGAAAAATTTAATATAATTGACATTGTGCTACAATAAAACGTAATAATAATATGAATTTTGTTCATAATGATTATTGCATTAGAAGCGTACTATTGTTACACAATTTTCTGTTTAAATATAGGGACATACATAGGTAACATTGTACTATATCTATTACGTTTCTTGAGCTTTTAAGAATTTTTTTAATTTCGATTATTATCAGAATAAGATCATAGAATTAAGATCGATTCTTTTCTATTAAAATCTACTTAATATATATGGAATTTTTAATTATTGAATTATTAATGCTTAAATACTTTGTCAAATAGAATACTTGGTATTGAAGTAATATATATGCGCGCGCACACATACACGTACACACACACTACTTCAAAATTATATAAAATAATGTACAATAGATCACATCATTTTTTTATACAAATTATAAAGGAAATAATTCTTATGACACCTGAAACTTTATGTTCTATACATATTTGTGTAAGAACTAAGAGATATGTTACCTACAATTATTCTCAAAAATACTAAAAATAATGCAAATTTTAGTATTCTATAAAAAGATATTTGTAATTTATATGCATTTTTAACAGCCAAATTGTTCAAATCTAATTGTTCAAGATATGGATTTATACAATTACTAGTTATCGCATATTTTCTTTCTATTAATTAGTCTTCTTAATTATATTTTATAGCATCATTTTTTTAAGTTATATTATTTCATTTTTAAGACAATCTAGCACAGTTCTTTCTTTTTTTATTACGAATTTATCACTAAAAATCGAGACGATAGTCAGATAGAGATTTATTTAATCTGATACGTTTTCTAATAATAAAAATGTTGACAAAGAAATAAAATAATCGTAAAGCAATTCATAAAATATATAACAATTTGTAATCTACCAATTTTTTTTATCGTTGGTATTTAAAATACTAAAGAATCTATTTTTTATATCTTAAATAATATGCAACTATATTATGTTATACTTTTATGTAACATTCCTCTTAAATATGCAATATTTATTAGTAAATTGTTAAATTAATGTAATTATAAATATTAATGGATATAAATTGCACCAATGAAATTATATCTTACTTATATTTTCAAAACCGATTTTTTTAAATATATCAATTGCTTATGGTATTACTTATATGGTATGGTATATACTTTTATAACTAAGTTTTCAGTATAATTTTGAAATAAGTTGACATGTTCAAATTTTTTACTACTTGCATACGAATATGATGCATTAATATCTTATTAATACTTCGTTCAGCTTTCGTGATATCTTGAAAATATATCTAAATTATATACATATGTATGTTATATGATGTAATGAACAAATGATGTCATAATGAACTAATCAGGAGAAATAAAATATGAAAGTTTGGCAACTGTTTTAGATCTACAATGAAATTGTAGAAATTAATTTGCAGTATGTCTCTTCTCAGTTTTTTCAGCCGCGTTTTATAAGATTTTAATATTTTTCAAGTTTATAAAAATTCCGAGTGGAAACATACTGAATCGTAATTGTCGCTTTGTACATAATCGTTACATACGCTTAAAAAGCGTACACATCTATATATCTTCTATTATTTTCTATTTTTCCTATCTTGAATGTTTTTATTTCAAGTAGGAAGATACGCTTGCGATTATAAGTGCGCAATGGCAAGTACTTATATCGTGTCCGATTTCGTCAAGTCCACAGAAATCGTATGACTAATTGTCGCAACATTCGCAGTTCCGCTACTTTCACTACCACCGTTAACAATATTTAATGATGAAATTTTGGCTCGTTGATATGCTACTACGGTATTCAAGCTCAAAAATCTGGAACAAACAATTTCAACTGTATAAACTGTATAAATGATTATACTAATATTACAATTTTTCAATAAATTAACATTTACTTACCTTATACAGACATACATAATCAGTAATGCAGTTCCGGCTGCAAGCATTCTAATAATGGGTCCTTCTACAAGTTGAATAACTATCCAGGCAGCCGCAGAAGATGCACACATTGTAGTAACAATTGCGATAGTTTGTAGACAGTGGCGTGGCGTCAAACTATTTTGCCAATCCAATCGGCTGGCATGTTCAACATTGTACTTCGTATTGCAAACTTTGCAAACGAGACTGTCAGCATTTACAGAACTCTGGAAGAAAAAAAAAGAGGTAAAAGTCAGCATTCAAAGCACATTGCATCGAAAGCAAGCAATGTAAAGTAAGACATTGTAATCATCTTACCTCAACGAGCCAACGACGCAAACAATCGTGATGTACAGCACTTACATCACCCCTACAATGGCATGGTTGTATCAACGGACCAGCATCTTGTCTTTCGCTATCATAACAAATCCAACAATCTTTGCTATTAATCGATGCTGCATCCGCAGAAAGAAACGCAGTATCTGAGGATACGCCCTTTTCTTGTAGCTCAATTTCTTTTATATGTTTCCCTTGGTCAAGATCCAATCTCTTCAATATACGCTTTGGATTCAGTATCCATAATTGTTCTGGACTGAAACAAAAACATAATGTAAGTAATATAGACGAATATATTTAAAAAAATTACATGAGATAAAAGTAGAAACATATAAAACATACCTCATACAATTCCACAAAACACAGGGAAACCATAATGCTACACCAACTTCAATAACACGAAATACAATGTCATGCCAATTCCTGCTATATAATGGTACCCTAAAAACATAATCGGATATTAGAAATATAAATTTAAAAATTGTATTAACTTACAGTAATTTATATTTGTTTCTTTTGTTTTCTTACTTTGTTTTCCAAAATTCACTGAGAGTCTCGCTAAACAAAAAACCAACTACTATAAACAACATGAATGCTTGAGAGAGTAATCCAAATCTTGATTGATGTAACTGAGATGTATTCACTTGTTGCATATGCACAGACTCTGCTGTAGATGGACCTGGATCGAATAATTTTGCTGTCACTTGATCTTCAGCATGAACTTTTGTTTTATCAGCTACACGTTTATTTGTCGCGATAGAAGCCACTTGATATTCATTTAAGAATCCACCGCGAACCTAGTGATTAAAAATGTCATGAATAACTTGACAATAAATGCTAATAAAAGTATTACGATGAATAATAAGCTTACTTTGAAAAATACTTCTACTCCATATATCAAGAAAAAGATTACTACAATGAAGAGAAGCACTGCATAACAGCCATTGAATACATGTGTATAAAAACTCTGGAAAGAAGACAAAAGAATGTTTGTTAAATTAATGAGCTATTTATTAAATGTGCATATGTATACATGTGTACATGTATACATACATCAGTAGATTATTGTAACAAATATATATTAATTATAATTTTTATTCTGTTGCTTACTTGATCCACTTGTGAATAGGTTTGAGCTGTGATAAATTCTGCCAATAGGAGGGAATATGTTATTATGTTGAAAACGACAAATGCCAGAAAAGATTTTGATAAAAATTGAGGTTTGTCCCAACGAATATCTCTTAGATGAACCACTTCAGCCCAGAAACAAACAATCAGTGATGATCCACTTAAAAGCAATGGATAATATGCTGACAACAAACTCCTGGACCAACCCTCTTTAAATGCAGTCTGAGAAAATTACAAGCATATATTAAAAAAAAAATAAAAAAGTTTTTGAAAAGGTTTTTGAAGGTAATATTTATTTACATACCGGTGAAGTAAAGTATGCTCCTCTTATAACTGATGCAAGGAAAACTACAAAGTATAATACTTTTTGATTAGTAACTCTGCATGCTCTCAGAAAGGATGGTGCCTTCATTCGTTGCCACTCGGCAATGATGCACATTACGAGCTGTATCAAGCAAACAAAGGCCAATAGGAAAAAAATTGATGCAAAAGCGATATAATAACTTAGATTTGGGATATGACATTCCGGTCCATCAAACTGAATCTAAAATGAAATTAAACATTATCATTTTGGAATAATGTAATATAACCAAAAGAAATATTACCTCGCACAAGCAGGTCCCATTATGGCACTCTCCATGACCGGAACAATTATCATTCCCACAGCTGTTATTCCAAGCCATCATACCAAACTTAACCAATAAGGATAATGGATTTTGTGTACTTAGTGCGATCATCTGTTCCATGATCGCTAAATACAGAGCAACTGCTCCGGTACAGCCTTCTAGAAAACTGTTTTGAAATGCAAATTACTTATCTTAGTTATCAGTCATGTTACATATTCGAATAACAAGAGATAACAATTCCTAACATATTTAGAATTTTTCAATTTGTAAAGGATTACTGAAGGAATGATTATTAGATGTTTAAAAGTAAAACAGGGATACGTTGCACAAACTGTTGACAATTGCAGCAACAATTGTTAATTAACAGTTATACATAATTATAACAATTATACACAATTCGTTATTGATAAGTGGAGAATCGCACGGAAACACGATTACTCATGCGAGTAATACATACGTCAATTAAGAAAGTAAAAATACTTGTCCTTTTCAAGAAACAAATTGAAACGGGTCCGATATCGATCCTCAGATTTTATCTATAATAGTATAGCTTTCTCTCGAATGTGCGACGCATCCCAATAAATAACGAATGTAATGTACGCCTTTCCGAGAAATCAGTCCCTCCGAATAGAAAGGGAAGTCACTCTTTTCCTTGTTGACTAACCGTTTGTCCGATCCAGCGCGTCTATGTCCGTTATGTAGGGCTCGCTCGGTGCAAACTGAGTACAGATGTACGGAAGGACGCAAGGACGCGAGAGGACAGGCGTTCCTAGAACGTCACATTAGTCAGCTGTCCACCGCACTGTTCTGCGCAGCGCGACGCACGCGATGCAACGCGACGTAACGCAACACAATGCCGTGACCACTGGTGAGCCGTCGTTCTCTAGCCACACTAAACTGCTATGCATCGATCTCGATTATCTTAGGATGCGGTCATCCGCGACATCGAAAAATCATGCGTCGAAATGATCGCATCGTACAACATGGAATCTCCTCTCTTCGTACCACTTCGTATTAACAGAACTCGAAATCCTCTTGGTGGAGAATTCTCGAGGCTAAGCCTTTTGTCAAATAGTAAATGGATTTCCGAGCCACTAAAATGGGTCACAGCAAAATGGATCACAGAGAGCAATCCCCTCGCGAAATAATTGTCGAATGCAAAGTGCGCGCGCGCGCGCGAATATATACCCATACATAGATCTGTAATATGCTGCTTGATTTGTCCAAATCCTACCAATGATAAAATTGGAATTTGAAAGATGCACTCTTTTTTTCTTTTTTTCTCTCTCTTTGTCTTTTTATCTGCGCCTCTCTTTGTCTCTTTGTCTTTTTCTTTAGAGGTCGAAGATCTTCAACCAAACTTTGATCAGTTTAAAAGTCGACAGAAGAAATTATACAGATTTCAATCGAAAATGAATTGTTATTCTCATACGGCAAAGGTATAAAAAAAGAATTGCAATATAATTGTGATATTTGCAATCAGAAGAATTGCCAGGTTGCTACAAAGTGATTTAAAAAAAAAATTGTTTTGAGGTGTCACTTTTGATTTACATCAAAATGCAGATATTTTTATTGTAATTTTTTAAGAAACAAAATTGCAAAATCCCACTATGTAATTTGATTCGAACAGCTCTGATTGAATTCATTATCAAAATTAAATTAATTTAAATTTTATCAGTCTTCTGTAATATTTGTTTGAACTGACTCGCAGCCAATCTGAAGGCTTATATATCACTAGTCTCTTATTCTCTAGTCTTTATTCATCTGAATCCGAATCAAGCGTAAAATCAAGCGTAAAACAACAGTGTAGGCAGTATCCAATGATAGCGCAGCTTTCCCGGATATCATCAATTGAGGCTCGTGTTTTGATGTATATTTCACCTAAAGAATTCGATTCTGCGCACTGGAAACAGATCCCTAGCACAGCACTTGACATTACTTTACTGAGTATCGTGGTCGACGGTCGATATACCCGTCCAATTTTTGCGATATTCTTCAGATTCAGCTACGCCGAACGTTGACAAAACACGAACGAGATCGTTCAAGGCAAGATATATCCAGTCAACGAATTATCTTTCGCCTACGATCCGTACGAAACAATCTTTCGAGTTAAAAAAAAAAAGATAAACTGCTCAGTAAACGTTATATAATATATATTCCGCGGGTGGAACCAATCGATGAAATTAAACCTGTATATTTCTCTCGGCAATCTATGAATGATATTTATCGAAAATATCTTGATTGTTCTTCAAAAATCGAAAAAAATCTTTAAATTTATATAGAAAAGATAAACGAATAACCTATATTGGAAATTTAAATATTCTGTATAATTGCAGCTTTGAAATCTGAATATCTTATTTTATTAAACGTAATACTATTAAAAAATTAAAAAATTAAATTCAATTAAAAAATTCTGATCAGCAGCATTTGCCTCAAACACAATTGTATTTCAGTGAAACCGATGTTATATGTGACAATGAATTTGTGAATTTCAGATGTCTCTGGAGAAACCACAGCTCCGTGGCCTGCACATGTCGCAGATTAAAAAAAATCTTGTAGGAATGTTGATAGTCAGTTTTAGTGCAGCTTTTGCGTTCAAGGTGATGGTCGTTGATAAAAGGAAGCAGAGATATGCTGACTTTTACAAGTATGTTGCAGATTGTAGTTAAATTATAGTTTTTATTATGATTCTGTTTTAATATGATTTGTATTTGATCATATATTAATGGGATTTCAACTATTGTTTCTAAACTTCTCATTTTACAGAACCTATGACGCGGAGAAACAATTAAAGATAATGAACGATGCTGGTCTCATGCAATCTTATCTTCCTTCACAAAAGAAATAATAGATTTATGTGTACAAATAATAAGCGCAATTCTGGAGAGAATGAAAAAATAGTTTTCTTTATGGTTACATATATGTATAATAAATAAATTCAATTCATAGTATTATATATGTTAAATGTCCTTGGTAACTTATTTATAATTTATAAATCTGTGTGGTCATGTTAATCATTAAATTATTTATATTTTAATGCATCTGTGTATTTTGTGTAATCATAAGCAATATATGTATATACACACACACACATATATATATATATATATTTTGTGAAAAATTCATCAGTGATTACATAGTTGATTTTGTATTTGCATTGATCAGCAGCAAATTCAATGCTATATATTCTTTCATTAGTTATGCGTATAGCGATACATATTCAGTATTCAAATATTTAATTTAAATCCTAGTTTGTGTGATAGCCTTGGCGGTTTTTCTTTTTTTTGTCATAAACTGTACGAGATTTATATGCAAGATACTGTATAAAAAGACGAACATGTGGCAAAAAAATACAATGAAATATTATAAAGAACGCTTTGCATTTGTGAAAAAACAAAAAAGAGTCGAAGAAGTAACGAACGAACCAACGATCGCGGGATATAGCGATTTGAGGTTAGGGAACATGTATGTTAGATCTCTTCACGTAGGAACGATCGTAGCAAGATGGCGCCCCGTTGAAATACCCAGCGTGCCCCGCGCGATTGATTTGCGCATGTCAGTTGCTCGCATTGCAAATGGCGGCACCTTGTTATTGTTCATGGCGTTTTATGACTTGTCTCTTTATATTAGCGATTATGTCGAGTTTTTTCGCGATCCCTGCCGCGCGCTGTGTGCCGAGAGTGAAGTAAGGCCCGCGCGGTGTGTTTTAGGTTAAGACCAGTGCCCGGGCGGTGTGCCTCCGTGCTGTACGGACGTGTGAAATCCCGCACAGTGTCGGAAAGAAATGGGGTAACGTTGAAATTTTCCTGTGTTCATACGGTATCAAATCGGCGCTGCGCGACGACTGAAGTGAGGCGCCCGCTGGCCATGCCAGCGCCGTTGGATACGTCGTGGGATACCGCGGCTACATTTCGCTGCCGTTAACGTGCCGCGCGCATGAAACGTCCACGTCGCGGGCGATATTACGGGCCGAGCGGAAAATAATTCCCCCCTCGACTTTTGACGGTCTATCTCGAGCATGCTTGAGCCCACTTCACGTACACCTCCCCCGACGGACAAAATGGTGGCCCCCCGATATCCGATGGTCTGGATGCCTTATTTCCCCGAAAATCATTACGGCGCCTGTCGATATGTGTGCACCTAGGACGCGAAAACCATCATTCTCCCGTCGACGCGGCCGTCCGCGTTTCGCGCCCAGCTGAAAAAAATGCGCTCTATAACCTATTTCGCGACGTTACGAGCGCACGGTGCCCCCGCGGCGCCGCCGCCGCCGCCGCCGCCGCCGCCGCCGCCGCTGCCGCTTGTGCACCAGGGGATTTTAATTGCCGCTCGCGAGACGTAGAGAGACGGTCCACGTCCAGAGGGGGGAGGGAAGTGGAGGAAGGGAGGGAAACCGTCCCTGCGGGCACGATAAACGCGGGCGCGCGTACCCCCGCCAGGATAACAGCGGGAGGACCCGCCGACGCGCGGAATCGACGACTCCCCGCGGTAATCGCCCGAGAGAGTCTTCCGGAAATCGCGCACACAAATTAACCTAGTGAACGCCTAGCGGGCCCTCACTTTTTGTTTATGCGCCTATATGTGTATGTGTGTGTGCGTGTGTGTGTTTTTATCATTTTCTCGCGCGAGCAGCCGCCTCTATCGATTCCACGGCAAATAATACTCGGCTTTTCCTCGCGATCGACAGCACGCTCTCTCTTTCTTTCCTCTCATTGTCATCAGATAATTATCTCGTTGCACGATACGTAATCCTTACTCAAATACTTCTCTTTCTCTTTTTTTTCCCCCAACATTTGGTCTCTCCGCGCTCCGTAGAACCACGACTGACTTGAAATATTATTAATTATACCATTCGAAAACTATTCTCATACGGATTTATGTGTGCGTGTGTGTATGTGTGTGTGTGTGTGTATCACCTATACATCGGTCAACATATGACGTGCCAAAGAATATTATGTATATATATATATATTTTTTCTCTTTTTTTTTCCTTGTCACACATTACTGTCATGTCTGATTGTAGTACTCGGAGTACTGACCGGAAAAGTAAGGTTAGAGGTTTTACACTGTTTTTAATTTGTTGTGCACTTTGCGCATTTGATACCTTTATATTTATATACCCAACAAAAACTTTATACTTTTATAATACTTCTAAAACGATTTTGCCACGCGACTTTGCCACGTTCACGGCTTTGTCCGAGTGTGTACTTTGTTATAAAAATATGTAATGTATTTACATGTGTCGTTATATGCAAAACTTTAAGATGTAAATTATTGTATGTATAATAATTATGTTCACGTATAAATTATTATACTACTATGCAAATTTGCACAATATTATTGTTAATACGCATATTACGAAAGTGTTGCTATTTAACAATGTTAAATTATTCACACACACACACACACACACATACACATACACACACACACACACACACACACACACATAATATTAGTGGCATTTAATGTTTACTTTTTGTTAGATTCTGTTTAATTATTCTAATTTCTAATTTACTCAACAGTGAACAAGATTAGTAGTCACTGGTGTGATTTGGGACTGTCGGTGTACAACTGACACGCGACATCTCTTCATCACACACATATTGGAACAATACCCCGAGGCGTTTTTACACTCTCTGGGTAGTTATGTGATTTGTAGTTGGTATGTATATTCTTATTATACAAATATTACTTGTAATTTTTATATAAATCATGCTTTTAAAAGACAGGATTATTACGAGTGAATTAATTATTTTATTGAAGACTATCACACAGAGATATGTATATGTATATTTTCAGTTTGTATTTATTTTATAAATCTGAACAAATTATTTAACAAATTATTTGAAAAATTATTTTTGAAACAAATAAAATATATTTCTTTTTTGTTTTTTAATTGAAAAGGTAGTAAAAATAAGCATTTGTTAAACTTTTATTTAATATTATTTTTGCACATTTTTTTCTTCTGGAATTAAATTTTTATATTGTTAATATTTATCGTAATTATTAAGAACATCCAAAATTGATAAAGACTCTATAAATTGATGCATTTTATGTTTATTATTGTTCTATTTATTATATATAAATAATTATATCCTTTTGATTGATTTTGTTATTGAGATAATTATTAATTTTAATCATAAATATTACAGTCATGGCGGCGGATAGTGATGGTGATCTGATTGAGACGGTGGTAACCTGCGAGGGTGACCTTGGAGATCCAGAGTTTCCCCGAAAGTTTGAAATCATTGTTGACCATCTCAATACTTTGCTTTGCAAAGGTAAAACAAGAATTCAATTTATTTATATATAATATTGATAATATTTTCCATATAAATGTAATTACTAATAAGAAAATGATATTGTACAATTTACAGAAAAGGGAGATGGTCTGAGAGTAAATAAAATAGAACCATGGAATTCTGTCAGAGTAACATTTTCAATACCCAGAGAAGCTGCTTTGCGGCTTCGAGAGTTAGCAGCTCAGGGTTCTCCAACACTTACACAACTTGGCATACTTTCGGTACAAGTCGAAGGAGATCAGGTAATTCATGTAATAAATATCTGATGTATTTTTACTTTTATTAGATTTGTGTTTTACATATTTTTACAATCTTAACAATGTCATTTTTTTATGTGAATTCTTATAGATGTAAAGAATGGTTAATGCTATATTGTACGATTATTAAATAAATATTTTTGCAGGTAATATCTTTAAGGATAGCCAGTCGCTTTGGTGGAGACGCGCAAGAAATTGTGCTACATTCTGGAACTACTCAAGATGGCGGAGCAAAATCTCAAGGAGATGTTACTAATAATACAGCTGCTGCTGACGGTAATCCTTCTGTAGCTTTGCCTGGTCCAAGTAATGCCACCAGCATTTCATCAGCGCTACATAATGTTGCTCAGATAATAGCAGCTGGTAAGTTTTTACAAATTATAAAAGAAGCTGATAAAAAAATATATATATATGCACAATATATTGCATAAATTTCTTGTTGTTTTAGGAACATCGTCAGAGAAAGCTCCTCAGTTTCGTTCTCCGAATGTAGTTGCGCCCACAGACTGTGATCCTATCCCACAATTTCTTGCGAAATCAGCACAATCCACGTCAGCGAGCAACGCTGGCGTTTCCGGAAATCAGCAAGTGATTAATCCTAGTGCGTCGCCTAGGAACAACTACAACGGTCCTTTCCCATTTGCCAGTATGACACACGCTGCCCAAGCAATACACAGTCGCGAATCGCAGTCCACAACAATCAAGAACACAATGCAGTTTAAGCATCACACTCAACCACCACCCCCATATCCATCTCAAGAAAATTTGACGACAGTTACAGCACTGACGACCGGTCACACGACAACGCAGCCAGTTGTTACCGTTGGACAACTAACGAGTCAGTACAAACCCACGACGATCGCTACAACATCTAGTCTGTCACCAAACAACGGTACCAATCTGGCAGGGAATTCGAACAGTAGCGGAAATCAAGTTGCCATGTCCAGCCCGTTACTCGTGAATCTTTTACAAAACGATGCTGGTTCGCACGCGAATAATGTCATACCTGGTCAGAAGATGTTACCGCCGGCTGTTATCGACAATCCTGGACTTACCAGTCGCATGAGACCCACCAAGAAACCTACAGTTAGAAGGAAAGATCTCTCATCGCCCAGTGAATCGCCACCGAATTTGGATACTTTAAGAAGCGAAGACGTGATCGGAGGAACGGCGACAGCAACGACAACGACGACGGTGGCGGCGGTCATTTCTGACTTGCCTCAGACTTCTACGTCATCGGCGTTCGTGACTGTCAATGTTAATCAACCATCGACGCTTCCACCGCAACAACATACTGCGGTCAACGTGATCGGTAGTGGCGCTGGACAAAATATGATACCACCACAACCGATGCATCAAGTGCCGACTGGTGGGCAGATGCAGCAGCAAGCAACAATTTTACATAATCAAGTACAAACTCAGCAAAAGTTTCCCATTAGGCAAGAATTGGCTCATAGAACTTCGCAGGTTCAACTGCAGAATCAACTTTCCGCCAGGCATCCAGTGAATGGACAACAGATTAGAATGCCATTGCAACGACAGTTGTTGATCCAACAACAGCAGCAACAACAAATAAATCAACAGCAAATTGCTCCGCAAATTCCGGCGCAGCCGACTCTGCAACAGAATACGAATGCGCCGTTGCAAACTGCGTCTCTCATCAATCAGTCGCTGTTACAGCAACAGCAACTTCAACAACAATTGATACAATATTCTACGGTAGGCTTAAATGTCCCACAACGGCTAGGTTACTTAAACGGTCAACGTCAGCAAACTCCGCCGCCTTATCCAAGGCAACCGGTTTCGCAGCAAACGCATTTAAATCAACAGACTCAAGCTCTCAATGTACAACAACAGCAGCTGCATCACAATCAAATAAAGAACATCAATACGGATACTAGCGTGACTACTGATTTTCGTTGGCAAAACCAAAATATCCTCAGTAGAAATTATCAGTCTCCCGCAACGAGCAATGCTAATGGGACCACGTGGAACGCACAAAGCAATTCTATTCCACAAGGTGCTCAAGTCAACACCACACGTCTGTCAGTTTCGAATCAGGTTTCAGGTGCCTTTCCTCAATGTGGCTCTCGTATAAATAATTCTACTACTAGCATTGCTCCGTCTATCAACAAGACGGAAACCTCCGAGTCTCCGAAACCGGAAGAGGAGACCCCGGAGTCGGAGCCGAAGCCAGAATACACCTCGACCGGGAAAATACGACAGTTTTTGATTAATCCTCTGACAGGACACTTAGAGCCAATGTCTAGTGAAAGTTCAGATTCAGAGCCAGAAAGTGCAGTGGATAATCAGGACGATTTCTTCTCCTTTCCGTCTCCGTCGAACGACAGATCGAACTCGATATTCTCCGACGATGACGCGGACAGTAACTTTTCAAGAAGAAACGATACGACGACGAACACGGATCAGTCAGATTCCGAGACAACAGCGAAATCCACGGCCAGCGAAGGAAGCTTAAAACACAGCAGAATAAAATCCAGTAGGGAAACTGCGCATAGTCCAATGCCGGGAGAGAAAATCAAACTGCGATTGAAATTGGAAAAATCAGAGCCGGTTACACCAGCTTACAAAGTCGACGTTTCTTTTGTAAATACGCCGCCTATACGGAAAGCCGATAAATCCGTGAATAAAATGTTTGCCGGTGGTATCCCAAGTGTGGGGACCGGTGATGAACCGCTACGAGTGCCTCCGTTACATATTTCTTTAAGAGGACGTAACGCTTCAGTAGTACAAAGAGAAAAAGTTAAAAAGTCTTTAAAAGAGACTGAGAGTGATGCAATTAAGAGGAGAGGTAAATTGAAGAAGATGAAGGAGTGCATCGATGGGAACAAGTTGCTGCAAAAGAAATCATTGAACATGATTATAGCCACTTCGTCTGCATCGAAATTATCTTTATCTAATTCCACAATGATAAACAGCGCTAATAGCATTTGTAAAGTCGGTAATATATTGCAAGCCGCTGTAGCCAAATCTAATGCCTTAAAACAAGAACTACCGGTAGACGCTGTACGATTGCAAACTGGTACCACTACTAAGCCAAGTTCGAGTAAAAACAGCGACGTGGATGATATACCACTGAACAGTAGAATACCGTCTCCTTTGAAACATAAATCTGCGATTGTGAATCAATCTTTAAATACTCCACAAGCTTTAACTAAGACTCAAGTGGATCTCGATGCACAAAATCATATGCAAGAACACAAAATAGGAGGAGGTAAGAAAATTTATTTAATTATTTTAATAGCAAATATTCAAATATTGTAGAAATTTATTAATTACTTATGTATGTAATTTTTTTTATTATAGGTAAAACAAAGAGAAGGGATTCTAAGAAAAAATCAGAATCGGGAGACGGTTTACATCGGGAACAAAATTTGCTATCGGGAGGTCGAATTTTGGATAATCAAGTGAAATGGCGAAAGCTCGGTTACAAGGGCGATATGGCTCATACGATAAGAAAACCGGATTCACTTTTAACCGGAAGTGATTTTAGTACAATCAAGAAGGTTGGCGAAATGCGAAGAACGAGCGATAGTGACATCAATAAATCGGCAATCGAGAAAAGTAATTCGTTGAGTAATGTGGCTCCTAAATTAACAGAGCTTAATGGCGTGAAGAAAGACTTAATAACCCAAGATAAGAGGAGACGATTAAGCTTGATGGATGAAAAAGATCTGCATTTAGGAGGTAAACGTTAATTCTTAATTGTATACTTTGCAAATTATTGTATTAATTACATATGACTTTTTTAATATGCATGTAAATAAATATATAATAATTTTAATATTAATATTTTTTAATTTCTGAATGTGTTGCAGAATCTCCAAATACAGAAGTTACACATTTTAATAATCAGAAGACAGCATCTGAAAGTTCTGCAAATGCGATATCAAGTATAAAGGCAAACGCCAGTCTACCCTTCGAGAGTGATTCTGGATTAAAATCGACAAATTCGTCAGTGCAACAGGTCGATACTAGAAATCCATCAAATAATCCTGAAACCAAAGTACCTGTGCATGCCGAGACTACGACGAAAAATTCTCAGCCACCTATAGCCAGGATTCTCTCCGTCAAGAGTAAATCCGATATGGAGAATTACATCACCACTGTTAAAAATCAGAACATCGGTCAAAAATTAAAAAACCATATGGTCGTTAAGAGCGAAGCAAATTCCATCATAAATAGGCACAAGATAGTCGAGCAGCTGAATTTTAGTCACAAAAAGACAATTCAAAATCATATTAAACAGATCGATAAACCAACGGTGGAAAGCAAAGTGGACAGCGCGTCGCAAAGGATCAGTCTACTGAAGACCACGCCAGGTTCGGTAATCGGCAACTCGGTAGATCAAATCTCCAGATCCCAGAATATTGACGTACCTGCGAACAAACCGACTTTACCCATCGGCGAGATAAACGTGACCGAGGCGAAAGTCAAGCAGAAGTTACTTGAAAATACAGCAGTACCAATCGGGATCGGTGTCGATGCGAATATCGAGAGAGTCGGTAGCAGCGGTGGTGGTGAAGATTCGGGCATCGAGTCGATGGACGCTCTTTCGGAGAAATCGCCGAACCAAGGAGAGTCCCCTTTGCACAGGCCGGCATCGGCGACCGAATCAGTGACACAGAGCAGCGCCAAGAATGTAATACAGGGGGAACCCACCCTATCAACCACCAATAAGAACGTGCCTTCCTCAACTAGTAGTAGTGATATGTGTTCAAATTCCCATTCGGAACTTCTGAAGTCCAGTGGCCCACAAAGGTTAAGTCCTGTGTCCGTAGCGAGTTATTTTGAGAATCAGTTGAATCGCAATATATCAAACTCCAGTGAGCACGACGTAAAGAATGTGTCTAGCGAAAAATCATCGGCAATTCCGAGAACTGGTGGTGGACATAGTGACTTGATTGCTAGTTTAGACACGGCGAACAATGACAAAAGTATGCCTAGTCCTCTGGTGACAGGTACAGTGACTGTTGTGACAGCATCTATAACCAGCAGTATGACTAGTGATAATAACTTATTGCAATGTGCACATCAGCAAGCGAAAGACTTTTCTGATAAGGACAGTTCTAGCATTAAATTAGAGGGTATTGTTAACCAAAATGATCAGGGTAAGACAAACTCTAAGCATGAGGGGTCGAGAGCTGTAGAAAGCGTATCCGAAGACAGCACGAAAGCGGTTGTAGAAAGTAACAGTGCAATTAGACTAAGTGATGAACCTCACGGACAGAATAATAATAATAATAGTAATAACAATAATAATAATAATAATGGTGTGCCTATAATACAAAATCACATTGCTTATAATAAAGTTGAAACGGTAAAGCTCGATATTGCGATCGCAAACAGTGCTAGCGCAGCAACAGATAATTCTTGCTCGAACGGTGAGAGTTGCAATTCAGAAATCAAAGTAGAATCTAAAATTAACGTAAAACTGGATGATACCAGGCAAGCCGATCGGTTCGAAGTCTCAAAAAACGGTAATGTTCCGCTGAATACAACATCGGTCAAAATAGAGACTGAGCAGAACCAGAAGTATAATGTACAAAGTCATCAGCAGATCAAACAGCTCAAAGAGCCTTCTGTGAATCTTCAAAAAGTTGCGGACGATTTGGTTAAGAAGATGGTTAATGATACGAGCGATCTGAATGCGGGCATCCAGTCACCCCTCGGTGGAGATCCGCAGCCTATTAGAATTACACCACCCTTATATACCTATTCCAATCCCGTGGTACTGCAACGGGAAGAAACACCGAGTCCGGCGGCGCAGAATCCTGAAGTGGACTCCAGTGACGTGGAGCATCTCAAGCGTAAACGTAGGAGAAAGCAGGAACTCGAGGGTCGTCAGGAAGTTATATGTATAGAGGATAACGATGAGGGACACTTTGTGGAAAGACTAAACTCCAACAGCTCGGAGGAATACATCAAGAGGACGCCGAAATCGTTGCTGGAGCAGCTGCTGATCGATATTCCAAACGATAATAATGAGAAAAGATCGCTGAGGACCAGATCGCAAAAGTTGAACAGTCCGGATATCGCAAAAACTCCGAAGAGCAGCCCTCACGGTCCTAACAAATTAGAGGAACGCCGTAGTATATCGCCCTACGCAAAAGCAAGTCCAAAACTGACAGTGTCGAAACTGTCTCCTAATGCGACAATAAAAATAGGAAAACGGAAAAGACAAGAGAGCGAGAGTTCCGTTGCATCGAGCACAGCTGACGATCCACAATCGAGACCAGGTAAACGGAAATCCTCAGAGAATGCTGCAGAACTTATTAAAGCTTGCATGGGTGTAGAAGAGGCTGGTTCTATAAAGAAACAAATACCTGGCAAGGAAGAGCAATCAAAGAAAGGGTTCAACATATTGACAAAGAATAAGAAAGGTGTTTATTTCATACTATATCTCTGTGTGTAGTAGTGTGTAGTAGTTGAATTTTTCTTACATTTTATCCAAATATCTTTATTCTTTATTCGTACTTTTATATATACAGGCTGTTTAGCTATTAGCGTATTGAATATTAATGACAGATTTTTTTGACAAATTTGAAGTTGCATGAAAATTCCTTCTTAGCGAAAATTTTGTGGG